GAGAAAATGCAAAGGTAAAGAGTTAAAGACATTTCCCTTAACCCGAGTATTTGTAACAGTTCCCTTTAGGAAGAGCCTGAGGTAGGTGTGGTGCCAGCCAGTCATTATTCTGTGCTATATTTCCCTTGCCTTGTGCCTGTTCCTTTAATTGTCTGTGTCCCAAGAATCAAGTAGACTTGTTTCCAAGGAGTCTTCCCCCTACTGATAGCACTGATGGGCATGGTGTGTGCAGGACCTCATGCTACTGCAAGAGGGGGTCATGGCCTACTCAGGAAGTCCTAAGATCTGCCTCTACCACTAATGATCATGGTCTAGGCAGGAAACCCCAAGGTCTATTAGTAGAACAACTGTCAATATTACAGGTGGTGCTCGGTAATTTCTCTTGTACAACAGCTGATCTGAGTGACACAACCTGGTTCTAGTTTTGGATGTTTTAGCTCCATAAAGTCACAGATAAAACCACTGATAATAACTAAAAAGGCAGATGGGTTTGCTATTGGTTCCTTCCCGCAGCTGATGCCAGCCTCTGAATCTATATATTTCCCTTCCACTGCTTTGTTGTCACTTGTCAGAAACAGAGGAGGCCTGGCAGTTGCTTAGGTGCAGCCAGTGCAGTGTAAGGAGGGGACAGCAAGTCAGGCTGGCAATGAAGGGACATCTCTCCACTCCGGTGCTGTGGCTTCTTCTCCTCACAATTCAGGACATAGCAGGTAAGTCTGCTCTGTGTTTTACTAGGGGAGCTGGGTTAACTGGAACGAAGGTGGTGACTTTTATAGTCAACTTTTTACCATCAGTGCCTAGCTAGGAGGTTGTGACTTTTCCTTTCAGGATTGATTGGATCTTGCCACTGTTACCGAGGCTTTTGTTACCTTGAGATTGGACTATTGCAGTGACCTCTATGTGGGGCTGCACTTAAAACTATTCCGAGAACAAAGGTGGTACAAATGGCAGCGACTCACTCACTGAGCAGGGCATCTGGCTGGGAGCATGTTACAGCCATGCTGCAGGATCTACACTGGCTAACCCAGCTCTGGGTGGAGGTTAAGATGTTGGTGATGATTTATAAAGACCTAAATGGCCTGGGACCAGCCTCCTTGAGGGATCACCTCTCTCCCTGTGCCGTACTGCCACAGTTGTCATGAGAAGGGGTGCCCGAGCTGGCTCCCCCTTTTATAAAAGAGAGGAGTAGCTGGCAGCGTGCTCTTTGTGAAGGCTCCAAGACTCTGGAACTTGCTCTCCCCTTTGGGTCAAAATAGCTCAAATAAGGTGACCTTCTGGGCACACTGCAAAATACACTCGTTTGGGGAGGGGGTGGGAAGGACTGAAGCCATGCATCACATAACGAGAAATGGCTGGGAAGGAGTTTCTGTAGGTGTCTGGCTGGCTAAGATCCTGTTGAAATGGTCACTTAATCTTGCAGGGATTTGAGTGTGTGATCAATGTGTCTGGGTGCCTAGAGCCTTGGCTGGGCATCACTTTAGTGTTTTAAATCCCAATAAATACATCAATAATTTGGGATCCATCAGAAATGTCTGTTTGGTCCAGAATCCAACAGCTCCAAGGGCCGAGTCCTGGCTCCTCACTCCCCCATTCACTCACTGAAACCAGTAGAAGTTCTGCAAGTTTGAGGTGAGCAGGATTTATCCAAATAAACCTAGAGTTGATTCCTCCCACACTGGTGTGTGTGTGTGATTGTGTGTGTTGGGGTGCAGTGTGCAATGCCCTGTGCCCACGGGGGTACTGGAAGCTCTGTCAGAAGGAAGATTTATCCTGCAGGAGCCCTGCCTCCTTCCCCCAGGGTTTCTGCTGAAGCAGAGAAGCTTTGAATCCTAGCTGGAGCCTAGAGAAGCCCGACCAGCACAAGCTGCATGGCAGAGGTTCTGTATCAGTGCATCTCACGGACATATTGGTTTCATTCCCTCAAGCCCCCCCTGCCCAGTTTCAGGGCTGCTCTCATTCCTCCAGCACAGAGGGGGCTGCAGGCTCTTTGCCAAGCTGTGTCCCAGCTCCAGGCAGACTCAACACCAGTGCGGGGGGGCAGGGCGGGAGGGAGACTATGGGTTACGGCAGCAAGTGTTGGGGCAATTCAGGGAGTGAATCTGGCCCAAAGACTCCAAAACTGATTAAAAATAAGGTTCCAATCTAAGGTGGGCCCAGATACAGTTCAAATGATACAGTGATTGGAACCTGTTGGGCTGGGGTTAACAGGATGAGAATGATCCATGTGACTGACAGGGCAGTGAACTGCTCAGCTGTAGCTGGTTCCTGGGAACCCGCCGTGCTGCTGCGCCAGCCTGAGAAACTGACACTGAAGCTGATAATCAGAAATGTCCATCTAAATTATTGTCTTAGAGAAAAAACTGCCCTAATGTATATTTCACAGACAGCTCAGTAACTGTGCGGTGATTAGGGGGCTGGAACCCAGAAAATCCTGAGCAAACTGACTGTCCATCAGGTTACTAGGAGTTTATATTTCAAATTCCAAGAAGTCCATCTATAATGTGCTGGGGTTAGAGCCCATGACAGAGCTGTATGAAGGAACATAAATTCACACCGTGTAGAGGTCAAGCATAGGAGTTTATTACACACAGCACTGGCGGAGTGTCACCTTGCTTATTAGGCTCAGAGACACTGTCAATCAATTGATTACAATAGAATATATGGATTTTCTATGGGTGGGGGAAAGTGACGGGGTAGGCAGTTCCACACCCCCAGATAGGTTTTGCAGCAAGACAAGATAGCACATTAGCCAATGGTTAACAAGTTACATAATGTCTCCGCCCATGGTCTCAAGTTTGCAAGTTAACATTTAATTAATACTTTGCTAAAATGTATTAGTATTATATATATATATATATATATATATATATATATATATATATATATGTTGGCTTCAATTTGGGGTCCATAGGAATGAAGTAACTCCTTTGATTGTCCAACAGGTACAGTCCTAGGGGTTAAAGCAAAGAAACAGTGAAAGTATATGGCAATAATGATTGTCTCCTTTAAGACAGGCTTTGGTCCCTGGGAAAGGGAGGTGGGAGGAGGCCATATCATAGACTGACATGTGGGAACCTGTCATAAACTCAAGGTTGGATATGTGGGAACAACATCTCCCTACAAAATAAACTAACAACCGAAACAGGGCTTCTTTGTTCAATTTGCAACGCTGAATAAGACACAATTATTTAGTTCTCAGCTCCAACACCTGGCAATTTGCTGATTAGGCTTATTTTGGCAAAGCAAGGTTATCTTTTGTTTATTCTGCTTCTCTTAGCTAATCACTATTTGCTAGGCCTCTGGTCTCTTGACCAAACTCTGGACTTTGGGTCTGGAAAAGAGCTGGCACAATCCATATGCCAGGTTGTTATATAAAATGCACGTGGATTTTAACCCTTCACTGTACATGACCTAAAAGCAGAGAATTCTATAGTGACTCCTGGTAAGGGATAAATGACTGTGCAGTTATTTGTGGAGAGTGTCCTATAATGATGCCAAGCACATGTTCAGCTCAGTGTATTTTTGTTGGACTGATGTGCATCATCCCCTAGAAAGTTTTTATTGTCTATGGGAAATTTGAGTATGTTTCACATGATGCAGACAGAGTGACACTGGGGAGTTTACAATATAGGGGATATCACCATGTAGCTACTTTTTCCTTTCCCTCAGTGCCCCAGTTCTCCTCCCTGAGCCTTGAGTAGAGGCCAGGTCAGTCTTTGCCAGAAGATCGTGTTTCACAATTATTGGCATATTTAAATTGTGTGGAAAAACAAATTTGTACAATTATGTGGGGTCCAGGAAAACAAGTGATAAAATATCAGGGACGGACCAAAGGTGCGAGTTTCACTCCCAGACCCAGATCTGAACTTCCCCAGGGTTCAGGGTGCTGCGTTTGGGTCATTATTCCAAGTTGAGCCACAGAATTAGTGGAAATATAAGATATGCATTTCCGTATGCAAATGTGATTGTTATCCTCAGGGTTGGATTTACACCTTATGCGCCCCTAGGCACAGCATCTTCAGCGCCCCTTCCCCTCACCATGTGGCCCAGCTTGGAGCCCCCCCGCCCCCTTCCCATGTGGCCCTGCCTGGAGCCTCCAGTATCCCCATGTGGTCCTGTGACCCCCAGCAGCCCTGTGTGGCCCACTCTGCCTCCTAACCTGGCTCCAAGTTGGCTGCTGTGACTTTTCACTTGAGGAAAAAATGCACCCACCACCCGCCTGCTAGGTGTTTGCTGCTGCCCAATGGACCAGTCAGCCTCAGCCAGCTCAGGCTGTTCTGGCGCCTCAGCGGCCTCTGGTGGAAGAAAGGCAGAACTGCAGCACATTTTCTGCACACACACACACATACACACACACAAAAAATTCTGCCTCCCTCAGACAAGAATTCTGCACATGCTGTAATTGTCACCTAAGGGGATGGGGCACGACATGAGACAAGGGGCTTGTGGGACATCTTGGCAGGGCGTGGGGCAGATCAGGAGGCTCCCTCCCTCCCAAGAACTCCTGAGCAGTGCGGGCAGCAGCAATAGGGCAATAAAATAGCCCAAAATACCACAAATCGCAACTGCTAAAAAAAACCACCGGCAACTGACAGCAAGAAAATCACATACTTGGCAATCTTCGGTGCCCTACAACACCGGTGCCCCATGGCACGTGCCTACTGTGCCTAATTGGAAATCTGGCTCTGGTTATCCAGACGGGGGCTGATGGCTGCCATCAGGGAGTGTTCAATCCAAATACAATCACAAACCTCATGAAAGCCAATGGCTGGGCCAAGCACTCTCTCTTAGGCTCAACAGATGGAGCAATAAAGATCCTTTATGTAGTTAAACAGCTGCAGACAGTGGGGACTACTGAAAAAGTCACTGGGCACATGGGCAGGGCAGAGCTAAGCCAGGGGTTTCCCTTGTTGCCAATGCAGGGGCCAGGATACTGGCATCAGACTATGTCTGTTGGAGGGAGAAGCCAGGAGAAGGAGTTGTGACTGGGATACTGGAAGGGAGCAAAGAAACAAAGCCTGTTGGAGCTCGCTGGAGGGGCAGGCTGGAGGATTTCTGAACAAGGAAACTGCCGGCTGTTGTTAGTTTCTACTGTGTGCAGGGAAACAGATCTGTGTGTGCACTTAGGGTATGTCTACACTACGGGATTAATCCGAATTTAGATAATTCGAATTTGGGAAACAGGTTGTATAAATTCGATTGTGCGCGGCCACACTAAGCACATTAATTCGGTTTTTAACCACATTAATTCGGTGGTGTGCGGCCACACTACCCCATTAATTTAACCACAGTAATTCGGTGGTGTGCGGCCACACTAACCCTAATTCGAATTAACAAAATCGATTTAGGCGCTACTCCGCTCGTCGAGGTGGAGTACAGAAATCGATTTTAAGTGCCCTTTAATTCGAATTAACTGGCTCTGTAGTGTGGACGGGTGAAGGGTTAATTCGGATTAACGCTGCTAAATCCGAATTAAAGTCGTAGTGTAGACCAGGCCTTAGTTAGAGCAGTGTTACAGCCTTGGGTCCTGCCCAAGTGAACGTCGCTGAATTAACTCGATTGAAAAAAGCCCCTTTTTCCTAGTGCAGACCAGGCCCAAGGGGTTTCCTTTGGGACTGGATTGAACAGAGTGGCACCTGAATAACCTTCCCTGTGGATTGCAGCAAAAGAAGTATTTAGTATTTGCTCGGCATTGAAGGAGCAGGATGGGCTGGCCACGTACTGGTGTGAACTGCACTGTTCTCTGAGCTCCATGAAGGCTCTATAAACATGGTGTCCCCAGCTCAGCCATCCACTGCTGCAACCAGCCTGTTCCAGGGGTCATAGTGGTGCTTGACATGTAGCCGTAACTCATGGGCTTTATAATGATGCCCGTACTTGCTCCCAGTTACAGGGACAGTCCTGGCTCTTCAAACCCTGTCCTGGGGACCAGTTCTCCCAGCCAATCTCCCAGTGATCTCTCCTCTCATTCCCTGTTAACTGCCTCTCTCCCAGCAGCCAGCTTTGCCTCTCCACAACCCCCAGAGATACAAACAGCTCTAAAGACAACTGGGGCAGGGGGTGGAACTCAGAGCTGATTCTGGGGGAAAAGTCAATGGCAGGGAGTGGGGGGAGGGTCTGGTGCTTACCTGGGGAAGGAGCAGCCTGTGGATGCAGGGCAGAGAGGCCAGGTAGAAAAGGGAGCAGAGAAGGGAGGAAGAGCCCAGGGGAGGTGGGTGGGAAGAGTCCAGCAGGGGGGCTGGAACAATTTGTATGGTGGGGGCGCTGAGAGCATTTAGCCAAACTGTAAACCCTGTACATGATGGAAACCACTTCAAGCCAAGGGGTGCGGCAGCACCCCCAGCACCCCTAGTTCCAGCACCTATGGAGACCAGTGGAAGAGAGAAATGTGTAGGTAGCTACTTTCCTTTTAAGCATCACTTTCCTTTTCTGAGTGTTGGGGCCTGTGGCGCTCGTGTCCGTGTGGTTGCGCCGATTTCAGTTCAAGAGAGGCCATTGTGGGTTAGCTCAGTCCTGTGCCCAGTCGATTTAGCTGAATCCCCATGAGCTGCTCTTGGGCTGAAATGGCAGGGCCCAGCCCACACAGGGATGGCACCTGTCTTGCTGGGGCAGGTGCGGAGAGGAAGCTCCGGTGGGGAGCAGTATTGCCCAAGGGCCACAGATCAAAAAACATGAGACTATAAAAACCATCTGGTCTTGTTTCTCAGTCTATCTTTGAACTGTTCAACTCCCCTCTACTCCGCTGCCAGAGTGGGGGTGAGAATCGCAGGCTGAAAAGTCACCATTTAATGCACCCAAACTACATGACTCCCCCTGGCTGCTCAGCTGGAGACTGCACTTACCCTCCCCTCACCCCTGAGCCGGGAACTGCCGCCCATTGCCCAGCACTGCCTTCGCTCTCCCCTCCTGGTTCAGTTCCTCTGACAGACAAAGGACTGACTGGGAAATAGCTTCACAGCCACTGAGCTAATTCATGTAGCGTGGTTCCCACTCACACCCAGAACTTCTGTTACTGGTCAGGGGTGAGTTACAGACAGAGACACTGGAGATCTTCACACTGACATCAACCATTGATATCAACTACAGTGTCATCATAAACACACCAGGATTCATTTAGTCTTTAGCAAACAGCAACACTTCCCTGCTTCCCCTCCCCACCCCCGCAACTTCTCTGCCTGAGGCTGGGAAGCACTGCCCCCCTTCTAGAGTGCCCTCCCTTCTCCTCCCCGTCTCTCCTTCACTCCTGCCCCTTCCCACTTCTGACCCCATCCCCTGCCTACTCCAGACTCCATTCCCCTCCCCAATACTCCCTCCTGTTCCCCTGCTCCAGAACCCCTCCCCTACCTCCTGTCCACCAGCACCAGACTCCCCTCCTCCATCCCAACTCCTCCATCCTCCCGAATACTCCCTCATGTGCCCCTGATCCAGGCTACCTCCGATCCTCTGTTCCACACCCGCTCCTCACCCTCTTGCTGCCCTGCTTCAGACCCTCTCCCTCCTTCCCCCACAAGTTCACCCTTCCCCACCCCTCCCTCCTCCTTCCTCCCTTATAAGATCCCCACTTCTCTCCATGCAGACCCCCTTCTCTAAACACCCTTCTCCTCCCCTCCCTCCTGCCCCCTGCTCAATAACCCCCTCTAGCCCCATGCTTCCTGCTCCCCCGTCCAGACCATCCTGTGCTCCATCTCCACTCCTCCCTCCTGCCCCAATTTCAGATCCCTGTCCCCTCCCCTCCCTTCTGACTCTCTGTCCTGCTTCCCTGTTAACCTCCACTGCAGACACCCCTCCCCTCCCCACTTCTCCCTCCTGCCCCTGCTTTCTGACCTCTTTGCCACCCCCACTCCAGACCCACCTCCATGCTCCTGCCCCTTCCTACCGCCCTTTCCAGACCCTCCACTCTGTCACTCCTGCCCCCTGCTACAGACTCTCTCCTTTCCCCACCCTCTTTTCTCCCCTGGCTCCAGAACCCCCTCCCCACCCCTCCTTCCGGCCGACTCATCGGCTTTACCCCATTCCCTTGCAACCCTTGAATCTGCCTCCTGTCCCCCCAGTGCCCTGCTCTCCTCACTCTCCCCATCCTCCTTTCACTGGGTCTCTGCTGCCCCTCACGGTCCCTGGGTCCTTTTCAGCCCCCTCAGCCATACAGAGACAGCCGTGTTCCCCGCGGGCTTTAGTGGGAAGTGGCAGCCAGCTTTACTCAGGGCGGCCTCACTCCCACACACCAACAGACTGTAGGGAGATGGCGGCATCTCGCTGGCTTCAGCCCCAGTGACAGTGACAGGAGATGGCGCCATTTGGAATAAGGGAAACTCTGTGAGTTGGCGCCTTTTATCATCTTATTGTGGGACAGGTAAAAACACCCCAAATTGCCAGAGTGGGGATAAAACGGCAAAAGCTGCAGCACCGACAGCCCCGAGTGTGAGGCCCTGAGATGTGAGAAGGTGGAGCCATGAGGCAGCTCTGGGCATGTCCCATTCTCCTGGCTCTGGGCGCGGATCCCCTGCTGCCGGGCACGGACTCTGCTGTGATAACACTGGGGAGGGGGCTTCCTGCTCGCTCTGACCCTGCTCTGTGTCTCTCTTTGAAGGTGCTGATGAGCTCAGGCTGGTGGATGGAGGTAGCCCCTGTGCCGGGAGAGTGGAGGTTAAACACCAGGATCAGTGGGGGACGGTGTGCAGTGATCGCTGGGACATGGCAGATGCTGGGGTTGTCTGTAAGCAGTTGGGATGTGGAGATGCTGTCAGTGTCCCTCGCCGGGCTCATTTTGGAGCAGGATCTGGACCAATTTGGCTGGATGAAGTTGCCTGTGATGGTACCGAGTCTGCTCTCTGGCACTGCGGGAACGAGGGATGGGGTCAGAGTGACTGCATTCATGGAGAGGATGCTGGAGTGACCTGTTCAGGTAAGAATCAGCCAGCTCAGTCCTGAAAGGCAAATCCCCTGAGACAAAAGGGCTTGAACCCAGAGGGTGTTGTGTGCCTGTGACCCTAACGAGAAATGAACAAAAATCAGAGCAAGTCCTGTAATGATTGTAATTACTGAGCTGTAATTATTACTGTTCATGTCACTGGCCACTGAGGATCCCCCTGTGTGACTGTGAAGCGTTTTCATTATCTCATTTCCAGTTGCTTCAATGCCACGTCTTTCCTTTCCCTTTCCCTCTGAATGTGTCTAAAAATGCAGATAGGAGAGAAAATGGAAAAGGAAAATGTCACTTAGGCTCCTAAGTTGCTGAGACACTTTTGAAAACGTTACCCTCGTGGTAAAACCCAGACCCAGACACCCAACCGCAGAGGTACAGCATCTGGGGCACTTGTGTAGCCCCTTTGCCACCCTCATAGGGTGACCGAGGAATGGGCAGATTCTCTCAGCTTGGCCAGAATTAGATTTAGCTGAGAGCACTCCCCCGTCTGCTCTGTTACTTCTCACATTTTGGACCAACCAGTAATAGAAAATTTCACAATCTCTGCTACCCTGTAGATCTAGGGTAGAATAGAGAGCTCAGCCAAAAATATACCTCAACCCTACACAGCTCAGGAATATCATATTATGGAGTCATTTGTTGTAACTCAATAGTTAACATTACAGCTACAGACCAATTACATGTTTTATTTTTAACTTCTCTCTTTTTAACATTTAGTAGGAATAATATCATCACTAATCCCCATCTTCCCTGGATAGAGGTGCAGGGCCAGCTCATAGGGCCAAACCCAGGGCTCCTTACTCAGGCAGGCAGCTATTGCCTGTAATGTGAGTTTGCTTTGTACAGACTGAGTAGAAGCAGGATAAAGGACTCAGGATTGGGCCCATTCAGAATTATTCCAGAAATAAGCAGCCAGCCATCTACAAAATAGCCCTGTCCATTAGACATCACTGAGAACAAACACATATTGTAACAGAGACGTTTCTGCACCAAGAGATTTTTGAGAGATGCTGTCCTGACAGAATACTAGAAAACTTTCCAAAAAGTGACAGTCGTCTTCTTATATGCAGTGTTGCTGTAGGCGTGTTAGTCCCAGGATATCAGTGACAAGGTGGGTGAGGTAATAGCTTTTATTTGACCCACTTCTGTGGGAGACAGAAAAGCTTTTGAACTTACAGAGAAGAGCTGTATGTAAGCACAGAAGCTTGTCTCTTTCGCCAACAATAGTGGTAATAAGGATATTACCTCAGCCATCTAGTCCCTCTCAATTCCTTCTCATCCAGCTTTCACTTTTCATTTCCGGTTGGATTAATACCAGACTTTGCCAAAACATTCTCCTCTGCCCAGATCTCTGCCTCAGTCATTGCACAGGCTGGATGGTGCCCAGGGAGTGAATCAGGGATGCACAGTGAAATAGGCTGTTGTCTGTAGACCCACATTCTCATTGGTTGCATCATCATCATCATCATCATCATGATCATCATCTTCAGTGATTCTCCATTCGAGGATGATCTCTACCACAGATTTACATATGGGTCCTGAGTATTGGGGGTAGCCGTGTTAGTCTGTATTCACAAAAACAACACGGAGTCCAGTGGCACCTTAAAGACTAGCAGATTTATTTGGGCATAAGCTTTCGTGGGTAAAAAACCTACTTCTTCAGATGCATGGAGTCAAAGTTACAGATGCAGGCATTATATACTGACACATGAAGAGAAGGGAGTTACCTCACAAGTTTAGAACCAGTGTTGACAGGGCCAATTCGATCAGGGTGGATGTAGTCCACTCCCAATAATTGATGAGGAAGTGTCAATTCCAGGAGAGGCAAAGCTGCTTTTGTAATGAGCCAGCCACTCCCAGTCCCTATTCAAGCCCAAATTAATGGTGTTAAATTTGCAAATGAATTTTAGTTCTGCAGTTTCTCTTTGAAGTCTGTTTCTGAAGTGTTTTTGTTGAAGTATGGCTACTTTTAAATCTGTTATAGACTGTCCAGGAAGATTGAAGTGTTCTCCTACTGGCTTTTGTATGTTACCATTCCTGATGTCCGATTTGTGTGCATTTATTCTTTTATGTAGAGACTGTCCGGTTTGGCTAATGTACATGGCAGAGGGGCATTGCTGGCATATGATGGCGTATATAACATTAGTAGATGTGCAGGTAAATGAGTTCCTGATGGTGTGGCTGATGTGGTTGGGTCCTCTGATGGTGTCGCTAGAGTAGATATGGGGACAGAGTAGGCAACGATGTTTGTTACAGGGATTGGTTCCTGGGTTAATGTTTCTGTGGTGTGGTGTGTAGTTGCTGGTGAGTATTTGCTTCAGGTTGGGGGGCTGTCTGTAAGCGAGGACTGGCCTGCCTCCCAAAGTCTGTGAGAGTGAGGGATCATTTTCCAGGATAGGTTGTAGATCGTTGATGATGTGCTGGAAAGGTTTTAGCTGGGGGCTGTACGTGATGGCCAGTGCTGTTCTGTTATTGTCCTTGTTGGGCCTGTTCTGTAGTAGGTGATTTCTGGGTACCCATCTTGCTCTGTCAATCTGTTTCCTCACTTCCCCAGGTGGGTATTGTAGTTTTACGAATGCTTGATAAAGATCTTGTAGGTGTTTGTCTCTGTCTGAGGGGTTGGAGCAAATTCGGTTGTATCTTAGGGCTTGGCTGTAGACAATGGATCGTATGATGTGTCTTGGATGGAAGCAGGAGGCATGTAGGTACGTATAGCGGTCAGTAGGTTTCCGGTATAGGGTGGTGTTTATGTGACCATCGCTTATTTTCACTGTAGTGTCCAGGAAGTGGAACTCTTGTGTGGACTGGTCCAGGCTGAGGTTGATGGTGGGGTGGAAATTGTTGAAATCATGGTGGAATTCTTCAAGGACCTCCTTCCCGTGGGTCCATATGATGAAGATGTCATCAATGTAGTGCAAGTAGAGGCGGGGCACTAGGGGACGAGAGCTGAGGAAGCGTTGTTCTAAGTGAGCCATAAAAATGTTGGCATGCTGTGGGGCCATGCAGGTACCCATAGCAGTGCCACCGACTTGAAGGTATAAGTTGTCCCCAAATCTGAAATGGTTGTGGGTGAGGACAAAGTCACAAAGCTCAGCCACCAGGTGTGCCATGGCCTCATCAGGGATACTGTTCTTGACAGCTTGTAGTCCATCGTCATGTAGAATATTGGTGTAAAGAGCTTCTACATCTGCACCCATTCCATTTTTTTTAATATCCTTCTTAAAATGTGGACAGCACAGCTGCATGCAGTATCGGTCTCACCATGCTGTACACAGAGGTAAAATCACGTCCCTGGTCAGAAATTATCCAACAAAATAGAGCTTCATTGGAAAATGCTGGTTTGTTGAACTCGACATTTCCCATGAAAGTGAGTCGGGTGCAATGAACTTTCTCCAGACCACAGGCAGTTTTGTGGCAGAAACCTGCATGGTTAAGTGCCAGCTTGCTTGGGGGGGTCCAGCCAGCCCTGCCATGCCAACTGCCTTGAGGCCAGGTACCCCAGTCTTCTCAGATCAGCTGCTCTGGGATAGCTGCACCATGTAGACTGCCCCAGCACCAGAGACCCTGGTGCTCTATAATCTGCATCTCCAGGGCAACCCTGCCATGGAAAAGGGAATCCCAGCTTTAACCAGGAGCAGCTCCCTGCTCCACAGCAGGGAATTTAGAAATCCTGGGATGGGATCCCGATTCCCAGGAACTGCAGCTCAGACTGGGGACCCCAGAGCTTTGAGACTCCCAGGCCAGTGGGCTATTTGGGACACCAGCTGGCCCAGGAGTCTGGAATCCCGGGGTCCCTAGTCCAAGGCAGCCTGCATGGTGAGGCTGCCCAAGAGCCACAGACCCTGGGAGCCCCAGCAGCATCTGAGAGAAATTGACATTTTTGTTTTTCTCTTAGCACTGGTGAAACTGACAAGAATGTCAGTGTCACTCAGCATCTGCAGGTCTCCCTGGGAGCAAATTTCATGTAGGACACTCCGTGCATTGGTCTTTCCAGAACAAATTTTTGAGAGGATTTCTGGTTCACAGGAAGTTTTGAAATAGCAAAATTTCCTGTGAGCTGGAAATCCTGCATTTCAGCCAGTTCTTCTCACTGTTCACTTGTTTAAACCTCCAAGGATCACCTCAGCCTTTTCACAGCATCACCATGGGAGCTCTAGTTCAGTTGCTTGTCCACTATGACCCCTGCGAAGACCATGGGAGATATCTGTATTTTTATGTATATTATGTGCACCTCTGTTTCTTTTATTCCTGTTTTACCATTTCCTACCAGAGTTCAAAAAGTAACTCCTGCTGGAGCTCCCCAGATGCCCCAGCAAGGCAGACAATGGCTACAGAGAACCCAGTCACTGGTACTTAAGTGACAATACAGGTGTCAAGGCCTTTGAACTTTTACCTCTGACCAAGCCGGGCACAACCCACCTAGCTTGGGAGAGGGGAGGGGCCCTTCATGTGGGAAAATTAAACAAAGAGCTTGGGAACTATCAAAAGGGGAGCCCTGATGAACAGAGAGAGAGAGGCAGGGTCTGCAGGGAAGGAGATTGAAACCCAGTCCCCAGAAGCAAGGGTACCTGGGATAGGTGAGGCCAGCCCAGGTTTTGAAGGAAGTGCTGAGGATTAGGTAAGACATATGCCTGTTGGCATTTAGTTCCTTTAACACTTTTCTCTCTGGTCACTGTGTTCCTATGGATACATAAATAATATCACTCTCCTGGGCCTGGTACTATTGCATATTTTCACTAATGATTTGGATGTTGGAGTAGAGAATAAACTCATAAAATGTGTGGATGACACAAACCTGGGAGGGGTCAAAAGCTCTTTGGATGAGAGTATTAGAATTCATAATGACCTTGATACATTGGAGAATTGATTTGAAATCAGTAAATTAAAATTCAGTAAAGACAAATACAAAGTACTAGACTTAGGGCTGGTCTACACTAGGGGGGGGGGGGAATCGATCCAAGATACGCAACTTCCGCCAC